TAATGTTCTTCTGATTTTTAAATCTGTATATCTCTGTATTTTTTTTAATGATTGGACATACTTACATAGCCGCCGCTCTGCTCCTTTTCAAGAGTAAGCAATAACGTGCAAAGCACAGAAAAAGTGTAAGAAACAGAAACAAAATTAAAAGCACGAGACAGAGTGGAAGAGAAGAAAGTGCAACTAAATCTAATGTATACCTTTTAGTGCATTTCTCAATGCCTATTTATTAAAATTACATGGTTACCAAATCAGAAAGATACAAGAAGATGTTTTTGTATGTTTTTGGAGCTCACCATTATTTTTTTATCACATCCATACCTTGCTTCATCTATTGGCTTTGTTCTTTAAACATTTCACAGGCATATTTTTGAAAATCCATGCTTTTCATCCACTTACAATTGTCTCTATCTTCCCCTTCCTTTCAACCCAGTCATTCTTCCTTTGCATATTTGTTTGCAATATGATTCTCATTCTGTGTAAACAAAAACGCATTGAAGAACTGAGGAGATTATCCTACATTCCCTGCTCAAAATCAAACCATTGGCTAAACATGATATGTATTCTCACGAATGCTCTTCTTGCATCCAGAAACTTGTAAGGCATTTTGCAACTCAAGCCTATTTACTTTATCACATGCTTTCTTTAACATATTGAAATATTTTCCTGCTGGAAAGCAAAACAGTCTAGAGCTATACAAACATCCAACCTGTAATAAGATCACACTGCATTTCTCCGGTTTTGCTTGTTAGCAGTTCTCATATTATCAAGTTTGAATCAGAAGTCTCTTGGGTCCCTTCTGAGGCATATTTAATTATAATTATTGTTGGCTGTTTTTTGTCATTATTTCTTCCTCTCTGTTGTGACCTGCCAGCAAACTCGGACGATGAGCAGCTGGGGAGGAACTTGGGCCAGTTCTGGAGTCTGAAGAAGGCTCTGAAGGATGCTCTGCATCGGAAGCAGAGATAGAGCCAGGGCCGTCCAACATTTCCCAGCCACCGGAGAGGCAGCTGCCTTTGGAGGCTGAGATAAGTGGGGAGGAAGAACAGCTGAGGCCTGTTCCGCATGCGCGTATGCGCAGAGCTTTGGGTAGAGAAGAACAACCAAGGACCAGGGGTCAACTTGGGAAGCAAGGCACATGTGGATGCTGAATGGCCCCTCCCTGGCTGGGGAATAAATAGAAGGAAAAGGGGAGTGGTGGTTGTGGGAGACAACCGTTAGGATTTATGTCAGAAGATTTGCTAATTGTGGTTCTTGCCTCAGACTGCAGGAATTTAATTTACAGCTTTGCAGCTGGAAGCTCCCAGCTTGGCAATTATCCCAAGGAACTGATAAGGTCTATACTTCAGTTAAACCTTGGAAGGATTATTGCCTTATTGCTTGGACTTTTCGGTGTGTGAATGACAGTAATTCACAGTAGCTAAATAAAGAGGGGGTTTTGGGGGCCAGGAGTCTGTTTGTTGGTTATGCTAAGGCTGGGTCAGAACATTCACTGTGTGTATCCTATACTACAGGGGTGTCAAACTCAAAGCCAGCGGGCTGCATCTGGCCAGTGGGGTGCTTAGATCTTGCCCGTGGGGCCACTCTGGAAATGGCAAAGGACCAGCCCGCGGTGCCTCTACCAGCAAAAACTGAGCTTGGGAGGGCCACATGTGGCCCTCACAAGCTCCGTTTTTGCTGGCAGAGGGTTGCAAGAGGCAGTCACAGCCAGAACGGAGCTCAGGAGCCCATTTTCACTGGCAGAGCGCTTGGGCCACAACAGGCGCCCGCACATGAGTGATGTCAAGCTGGCCACACCCACCCTGACCATGCGTACCCTGGCCATTCCCACCCCCATCTGAGGTTGAACACAACCCTGATGTGGCCCTCAGTGAAAATGAGTTTGACACCCCGCTATACTACTTGTCCAGCATCTTTATTTTGAGACTGAATGTATGGGGAAATAAGCCTCCCCGTGTACAATGTACAAATAGTTCTTGCAGTTCGTTTAGTGACTGTTCAAAGTTACAACGGCACTGAAAACAGTGACATGACTGTTTTTCACACTTACAACTGTTGCAGCATTTCCATGGTCACATGATCACAATTCAGATACTTGACAACTGACTCACATTTATGACCATTGCAGTGTCCTGGGATCATGTGATCCCCTTTTGCGACCTTTTAACAAGCAAAGTCAATGGGGAAGCCAGATTCACTTAACCAACTGTGTTAGTAACTTAAGGCAGTGATTCCCTTAACAACTGTGGCAAAATCCACTTAACAACTGTCTCGCTTAGCAACAGCAATTGTTGGGCTCAGTTATGGTCATAAGTTGAGAATTAGTTTAGCTGGAATACCTAAGTTGGGGGTAAAGGGTTCCTTCACCATGAATTGGGGCAGGATGTCAATCCTGTTCAGTAAATTATTAAACCATTTCCGTTTCTACTTGTAAGCAAGCTGTTGAAGTAGTTAGTTGAGGTTTTTCTACTGGTATAGATTCTTTAGGAACTTGACAAGCCAGCTGCTGAGGAGAATATATCAGTTTTCTGTCAGCATAGTACTAATTTTGATCTGTTTCAGTAATATGGCACATGTTCAGTTCACACAAAAATTGACTCATTTCTAAAATATCTTCCCCTTGTTGATCTTCCAAGTTGAGTCCAAGGGCCCAATATTTTATTATTTCAAGAACCTCCAATGTCACTGATACCTTGGTGGTTCAACAGCTTCCTTGTTTTAATGCTTTGATGTCTGCCTGGGGCTTATTATGGATTGTATCCTTGCTTTGTTGTTTCCTTAATTGAATTCTGCTTATACCACCTACTATTTTCTTGGATATTACATCTTTGCTATTATTACTTATCATTAGACAATGCATACGCTGGCTATTTTTTAGATTATAGCTTTTGCTTCTACTTTCTATACATCATTCTTGCATCTTATTTACATATTGTGCCATCTTTTTTTTCATGTATAGATGTGAACCACATATGTCTTAATTCTGTCTGCTTATAATCAGCTTCCACAGAAGTGAGAATAGTAGTATATTGCACCAAAGTAGAGTTCCTCTGATCCTTTAAAGATTAGCTTATTTATTATGAGGTTGCCTTTCATTGACTTTAATCAGTTTTTGTTAAACCCTTGAAGGTATTATCCTGTAAAAGGGCGGGGGGAGGATGATTCAAAATAGAGCCAAAAAGTTTGCTTGTGCCTGGGTATTCTGTAATTTTCCATTATTGAGAAAATTGAATCTGAAAGTTTCCAGATCAAAAAGACTGAAAATTCTAATATATTCTGTGTTAGCATTCTCTTATGTGTGAAAATGTTTTCATAGGTTATTTAGAAAACTGCACCAGATTAGCAGGGATTATTGAAAAGGATATAACACCCAGCAACTTCACTAGATACTATTTTTTTTCCAAGCAGTGGGTTTTGGTTTAGCAAAGTGTATATTTTCCCCATTAAGTTCTATCTGGGTTTTAAGACATTTTATGAGATTTTTTTTTTTTTTGGTTTATATATTCTTCACTAAACATCTTAAAAGATGAATCTTTTGTAGAAGAGGCCTAAGTAGCTAGACAATGCAGTGTTGCTCAGAGTAGCTGTTTGCTTCCTGAGGTGATGCAGAAATATAAGGCAATTTGTTTGTATAGCTGGACATATTGACTGTATTTTCTTTCATGAATCTTTCCTTAGCTTGCTTTAGTTTACTCTGCCTTTGATTTATATTTAAATGTATTATTCTTGTCTGCCACCATTTGTTGGAAATGTAGAATGCAAATCTAAAAACCATATGTTTTATCGAACCTCTGGGCATTTTTAAATTAAATCATTTTTAAAATTGTTACTTTGTCCCTATGAAATTAAGTGAAATCATGTAATTTTAAGAATGACTTTCCTACCAAGTGATCCATGTGAAAATAGTGAGATTTTGATTGCAATTCAACTGCAGCCATTGCAGATGTTAGATTTGATCTCTGTAGAGTAGCAGTTTTTGCTCTACATGCTGACTTTAAAGTGTGATTACTTCGTAATTGTTGTTCTTTGTCAAATTAGTTTCAAGGAGCCTTTTTTTAATTTGACCCTGATTTTTTTGGGTCTATGACCATACAGCAAACAAAATAAATAATGTGATCTGGCCCACTACCTGAAAAGGTTTGCTGATCCTGCTATTAAAATACTTTAGCTGCCTTTTCTAATGGATAATGACTCAAAATTAAGATACTGACTATATTCCTGATTTGTTTTTCTATGATTGTAAGGGCCTCTAGTCCTCAGAATCAGAATGTGACAACTTGCCACAGCTAACTGACTGTGGCCAACTCGCATGGCCAACTTGCAGCAGCCAACTCACTGCGAGACAACTTACCATGGCCAACTCACCAGGGGGGACACTTCACTGCAAGACAATTTAACAATTCACTTTCATTATTTAAAATAAATAAAAACTTGTGTCATTCACATTTCATTTGGTCTTTCCTTTTGCAGCCTTTCTTTAATTATTCTATTCCACCATTTCTTTGATATTAGTGTAACTCTCAACCCGTGGCGAGTTGTTTTGCGGCAAGTTGACTGTGGCAAATTGGGCATGGTGAGTTGGCCTCAGCAAGTTGGCTGTGTGGCAAGTTGTTATAGACCCCTCAGAATCTTGTTACCGGCAGAAGGTGAACTAGTGTTTTCTTTTTGTTTTTGTCAGTCCTCCTCTTGGTTTGTGGATAGCTACTGCTTCAGCAAATTATGAACTTTGGATGAATTGGAATAATAAAAAATAGAAATGCAAGCAATATCTTTAACTTGTTCATAAACTTGCTTACTAATTGTTAAATATAAGATTATAGCATATTTATCTTTTAAATGTTTTCATTTTTCCTGTTTCAGTGAGTGTGCTACTCATATTGTTGAAGTTTTTTCTCATGTGGTGTAGCTTTAGATGATTTTTATTAGTACAAAATTCAAATGAAAGTTCTTTATGTACTCATGTAATGTTTTTTTCTTTCTCATCTTTTCTTAATCTCCAGGACAGAGTTTGGGATATGGATTTGTGAATTACATTGACCCTAAGGATGCTGAAAAAGCAATCAATACTCTGAATGGATTGAGACTTCAAACCAAAACTATAAAAGTATGTAAACTTTTGAGAGTAAAATTAATGCTAGAATAAAATAGCTTGAGTAACCTGTCCTATGTATTTCTAGAAGCTATATAGTTTGGGAACTAATTATAATTTGTTCATAAGTTATTGCCTTTGCTGGAGCTTACACAGGCAGTTTGCATCTATTTGCAACCATATCAAAAGTAAATCCCAGTATCTATCAAGTTACGTGATACTGTATTAATATTGACAATAATATAAAATATAAAGCACTATATTTAAGATTTTCCCTGATAAATGTTCCCAGCAGCTGAATTTTCCTTCTTGAATTCCCTTGTGCATTGTCTCATGGTTTTCATAGACAGAAGAGTTCTAAATAAATTCATTTTTTGCCTTGCCTGAGGGCTGCAGGAGGCACAGCTGATTATGTCTTTGGAACAGTCATTGAAATGTGCTTGTTGCGGTGAGAGAGGTTTGGAGGTGACAAATGGGGTGCTTCAGGAGACTTCTAGCCTATGAGCCACAATTGTTCTCTGCTTTCCTAAAATAATACATTGATTTTCTTGTCATTTGAGATACACCGTAGATTTTAAGCGAAAAAGATGTGGGGAAAGTTATCTCATTGGTATCTGAAATCACAGCTGGCTATATCTTCCTTCTTCTGGGTTAATAAATCTGGATTTTGGAGTCCCTGGTCTTTGCACATTTTTTTAAAAAAGATTGAATGAAACACTGAATTTGGTTGGCATAGGTTCTTTACTTAGGCAAGAGTGAATAGCGATATATTGGGGAAACATCAGGTGCAAGTACAGGTAGTCCTCCACTTACCAGAGTTCATTTAGTAACCATTCAAAGTTACGATGACACTGAAAAAAGTGACTTATGATCATTTTTCACACTTATGACCTTTTAGCATCCCCATGATCAATGTGATCAAAATTCAGATGTTTGGCAGCTGGTTCATAATTAATGACCATTGCTGTATCCCTGGGTCTCATGACCACCTTTTGCAAGCAAAAGCAAAATCAACGGGGAAGCATGTCGTGGGTGGAACTTACGTAAGGAATGGGTACATAATACCTGTTCCCTTTTCAGATACAGTTTTCCTTGTTCTTGGTCTCTCCATCTCGATCTCCCAAACAGCAAGTTCCAGGGAAGAAAGAAATGGCTCTTGGCAAAAACTGATTTCCTGCAGGGAACTTTTAAAATTAATCTAAGGACCGTAAAGTAATCCATTCCTACCTTAATCTATAAAGCACGTTAGTTTTCTATAGGGCTAAGGCTGGTCAGATAATTCTTTTCAAAGTTTTATTTTAGAACTGACCACCATTAATGTTTATGTAACATTGTTACTTGTCAGAGTAATATGGTTATTTTTAATCAAATTAATTAAGTAGGTTTTCTTCCCACTTCCTGGTATTTAAAAGTTATAAACGCATTATCGTGAAGGAATGAGTAAGAAGAATTTGAAAAGTTCATCCCACTCCCTCTAATCCAAAGATTTTTAAAACATTATCTTGTTGGGTTCTCATTGCAGCAATTTTTATTGTTCAATGAATTGAGTTAAAGAGTTATTTGCTTCTTTGGGAGCTAATTCCCTAAAACGTGGATTTTATTTTAAGGAAAGTTAAATATATTGGCAAACACAATACAATACATGCCTAAAAACCCTAAAAACTATCATGACTTAATGAATTTCAACATGATGCAGTCTATTTTACAAGCACTTGCAACGACATTTTTTTCAAAATAAATATACCAATTTCATATCCTGTTGAAGCGAATTCTATATTTATTATAATTTTTAAAAGATATGCATTCCTTTTTCAATGAGTTAATTGCTTAAAATAGAACTATTACTTGGATCGATAAGACAGATTTGCAAGAAAATTAATACTATACTCTTAATGTATATATTTGCATAGATGCATGTGTGTACTCATATGTGTCACATAATCATAGGTAGATGAGAGTATTCAGTGATGATATTTTTTGATTAGCGACTGTGTCAAGAGAGCTGTAAAATATGTATGTATTGATAAAACCCCTTTAGAATATCTGAAGGAAATGAAGTGTGAAGGTGAGGAAGAAGCACCTTCACAACCTTTGTGTTCTGTTCTTTCTATATCATAGAACATTGATCCTAGCAAGTGGCAAAATGAGATCCTATTTGGAAGTTTAATTAAAGTGAGTGAGTTTTATTGATGCTATCAATCAGCAAAGATTGAGTGAAAGGGCCTGGTGCCAAACCATTTAGTGCTCTTGACAGAGTAATTAAATACCACAGGACTGTTGTCTCAAGATAAAGTGAAGAGCCTTTTGCAAATGTGATTCTTTTGTTGGGTCAAAAGAAAGGTGTTTTCCCTTCCTAAATAGTATATAGGGAGACTTTTTAAAAAATGGCCGCTTGTTATTTCTTTCTTGTATACAAATTGGTTGATTTTGTCAGCTTGCATTTTTGAAGGGTTCACATAAAATACTTGGATAAAAATATTTTTTTTTAAATAAAAACACTTTTAGAATGCAGGGTAATTTAAAATTGGGTTTGTTTGTTTTTTCAGTTAAACTCAAGCCTTTTGGAAAAAAAAACCCATAAAAATATTAAACCTCACCAGCTAAAACTCCAAAAATGCATAATTTCTAAGAACTTTCATTAAGTATTATCTGCTTCCGATTTTTCTAGTTAATCTGATTGTTGAATATTCTGTCGTTCTATGAGGCTTACAGAGAACACTAGAGTTGTCAGATGTGGCATTTATTTTATTTAGCATATGGCATGTGTTAGCCAGGGATTACCAAGGTAGCTGGCTGCCTCTGTGAAAGGAGGGTGGTGGTTTTTTTTGGGGTGGTGTTATCTTTACTGGTGTGACGCCTGAATGCCGGTAGGCAGTTGGGGGAGGCTCCTTTCCTGTTCCTCTGCAGTTTATTCACTCATGGGAATTGAGCCACCAAGCTGCCGTCCTCAGTGGTGTGCAGGCCCAGAGCATATCAGAGTCTGTTGGAACAGGTCAGTTGGACTTGAATGGAAAAACAATGCAAATAAATCAGACATAGAGCACAAAATCGAGACAGAAAACTACCTGATGATCAGAACAGCAGGAATCAGAATCTTGAATGCCTTTTACCTAACTGGGCTATAGAAAGCTATAGGTCCAGTAAAGCACTGAAGTCTGTTGAACTGGATTTATGGAATGCTAAGGAAGGAAATATATTGAATGCCTGAACCGTGAATTCTTCAAATAAGGTACACATTTTAACATTCTTTTCTCCAGCACATCAGTTGGAGAATCCACACATGGGTTGACACATGCCTTTCTGCCCAGAGACTGAGTCCTTAAACTTTTACCACGCCCATCTGTCAACTGTCACTTTCCCAGTTCATGACTCAGTCTTGCCCCATAGGGATGTGACAGAAGTTGGCTCTCAAATCTTTGGATAGAAAAACTGGATTCTTCATTCTGACATCTTGTGCTGGCAGGTTTGATAACAGCGTTGATGTTAAAACTACTAGGTACTCATCAGAATTTGAGAAACTTTTGCTCCCCCCGAACCTGGTAGTGCATGATGATTCACCTCATAAATAGTTTAATTCATATTTAGTTTTCATTATTCAAACCAGCAACTTGAAATGTCAGAACAGAAAATATTTGTGTTACCCAATGTGACTGGCAGGGGCGGGACAATTGCTTTTGTTATTATTGCAGGTAACTCAGCATTCTCTGTTTCTTGTTATAAAAGTTCTGAGTCATCTGTTTGTATGCTTGAATTGCTGCAAATTATTATTTTGATCCCCAACCTGGCAAGGCTGTGTAAGTTGGCCGAGACATTGGTACCAATTGAGACATTGGCATGAGGTTTTTGGGACATCATTGCCAAGTGACTGTTTTTCAGCCTTATTTCAGGATGAATAATGATGACTACTTTTCTTTGCTGATTGTGTTTTTTTAAGCAAGACACTAGAAGATTTAAAGCAGTGTTCTAACTGAAGAACAATAATCATTTTATTTAAATAAGGAAATAAACAGTATTAAATGCTTACATTGATACATTGGTGAGTTTTAATTAATTTATTAATTCATCCAGAAGACCATATCCTCCCATTCTCCTCTTGAGAAAAAAAAAATTAGTAACTCCATCTACGGTGGACTGATAACCATACACTATGATCATTTGCCAGAGAATACTTTTTATTTTGTATCATACAGTTAGTCCTCAACGTACGACCACAGTTGAGCCCAAAATTTCTGTTAAGTGAGACATTTGTTAAGTGAGGTTTGCTTCATTTTACAATCTCGCTTGCCTCAATTGTTAATTGAATCAGCGCAGTTGATAAGTTAATAACCTGGTTGTGAAGTGAATCTAGCTCCCCGTTGAGTTTGTTTGTCAGAAGGTCGCAGAGGGGGAATCACATGACCTTGGGACACAGCAGTGGTCATAAATGTGAACCAGTTGTCAAGCATCTGAATTTTAATCATATGATCATGGGGATGGTGCAAAGGTCATAAGTCACTTTTTTCAGTGCTTTTGAGCCATGATTGTTTTTCGCTTTCCTAAAACAATTCATTGTTTTTCTGGTCATTTGAGATATACTGTAGATTTTCAACCAAAAAGATACGGGTAAAGTTAGATCATCCTCTTGTTGGTATCTGAAATCACATCTTCCTTTTAATAAATTAAAAAATAATAAATCTAGATTTCCCTACTTTTTGCAAAAAAAAAAAAAAAGATTGAACGAAACCGTAAATTTGGTTGGTACGATAGATTCTTTGCCTAGACAAGAGTGACTAGTGATATTGCAGTGGATTGTAATTTTGAATGTTCACTAAACAAGCTGTTGTAAGTTGAGGACTACATATATACAGCCACTTATGTTAAAGTTTTTCATAGTTCCACTCAACTATGGATCCTGAAAATAAAAGTAAGAATTTATTTTAATGTTTTCCAATTCCAAACAAACGGTTACTACAAACACACAAAAGGCTTCCATGGTCCAGAGCAAAATGAAGATACTAAATCGTTCTGTATCCCGAGAAAGTTCTTATAGCCTTTTATTTGTTATATACTCCTAACATGCCCTTCTTTTAAGGATCATTTTATTCAACCACCTTCTCCCATCAGCTTACTTCAAGAAGCACCCTCTGATAAAAACTAAATGCAGAAAACCCCTCCTTAGCACAAGGATAGTAATAGATACACTGGTTGGTCTTTGTCTTCTTCAAAAAGAGATCCCAACTAATAGTGGTATATCAGTCCAGAAAAGAAAATGATTTCAGAATGATTTCCAGAAAAGAAAATGATACAGAAGCAGACATGAACAATTTTGCTTGTTTAAATACAAGTTTTAAAGTTGTTTATGCTAAACAGTGGTAACAGTTTTGAAATATATATCCAAGGCTTGGTTTAAATTATTGCTTGCTTAGATTTGTGATCCTCATATGTATAAGCAAGGAAGCTCTTGTTTTTTTAAATAATATAGATGAAGTAATAATACAGAGTTTTGTTTGCTACTCTTCTGTCAGAATTATGGCTGACAGTACCCTTTTTCTCAGAAATTTATAAGAATAAATGTACACGTTTATAGGAAAAAATAGAGGCACACATGCCCTTTTTATACTTTCATATTAAAGTACATCTTAATGCTGTAATGCAGGTGTCCAATCCACAGCCAATAGTCCAAATATGGCCCTGGACAGCATCTCCATAAGATTGTAAACTTTTAACAATATTATGTGCATTTATATACATTAAATTATATATATTTTATACACAGTGAAGAATAATATCCCTTCACTCAGTGCCGCCCAGTGAGCCCAAAGGTTGAACATGCCTGCTGTAATTAGTACTAACGGGAAGGAAGTTGCAAGTTATTTGAAATTGAAATTAAGGCTTCCTATTTCCTCTTCATGTAAGCAAGGAAAGAGAAGTAGATAAGGATTAAGGAAGGCAGCCATATTCTTAATGCCATTGCTTAGTACTATGTTCAAATCCATTTTCATCCAGAAATTTTATTATTAAGAATTGGATTCTGCCACTAATAGATTATATTGTTAATGCTAACAAAAGTATTCTAATCTAATAACTCATCCATTGCTGATAGATAGGAAACATATTTTGCCAGTAAATCTTTGTGGAAAGACATTGGTTAAACTTAAAGAAAATAATTTGGTTTGTGCTATAACTAGATAAAATCTTTATACGGTATTATGCAACTAAGTGCCTTTAGGTCTTTTAATTTCAAAGCACTTGCATGCAGTTGTAAAAACAGAAAGGGATTTATAATCCCTTTTCTCTGTCATTTCCCAGATGCAAGTGGCCACGTTTCCCTGAAGCTCAAATTAATCTAGAAAAGGGTAAATAAAGATATCATTCCTTTGTTGGTAGCAGCTTATATGTGTGGAATTGAGACCAAGGAACTGTGAGGGAAGAAAGCTAAATTAAGTATACTTGAATTTTTTTTTTTCATTCAGATTGTCTACCAAATAGGTGTTGGGAGATGTGTAAAGTTTCAGGTCATTTTGATCACATACTTACTTCCTGAGAAAAGAGAGATTCAAAAATGGATCTATATTTTTTTCCCTGCATTGTGGTGCTGATCAAAATTTCTGTACCATATTTCTGCTATATTATCATATCTTGGGTGCCTTTAGCGTACAGCACATTCTTAGTTTTTTACATAACATTTCTTCTTTCATTTTGAAAGAACTGAAGTGGTATGCTTCCCACAAAAATATTACATTAACTATACACCTATTATAATTAAGTTAACAGACATAATCCTGGAGATCTCTCATTTTGCTCCAGATTGCAGTAAATTTAGTAATGCCCACAAATCAATGACTTTTCTTTTTGCTAGATTTTGATAACACATAAAAATTAATCTTGTTCCTTCCAGAATGTTTCAATACACCATATTTCAAGTCTCTACCCTGCTACTAAGTTGTAGAAGAATATATAGAAGGATATAGTGGTGCAATTGCACATATATTAATCTTTTTCCCCCAAGATTGTTTCCACAGTAGGCACATATTGAATTATGTGAACTTGTGGGTGTGTAGCTGTTATGGAATGTGGGAGAGATGTCCTTTCTTAGAATAGTTGTCATGTGTTGTCACCAAATAAAGTAAGGAGGGAGTACAGAACTTAGAGAAGCTAGTGGAGAGTCCTCAATTGCCCTCAGGTTTACACTGTATT